GGAGTGGTACGGCTCCTTTTCAGGGCTTCTCTAAATGAAATGTGCAAATAAATCACCCCAGGATCTTGTTACAATTCAGGCTCCTATTCCCTGTATCTAGGGTGGGGCATTTCTAACAAGCTCCCGAGGATGCTGACGCTGCCGGTCTATGGACCAATTGATGATACCTGTTGGACGAGGTATCCAGCATGAATACCGTGCTTTCCAATTTAACCATCAGAACACAGAAGCCCTGCAGTTACAAAAACCTCAGGCCGGTAAGTCAGAAGCTTCCAAAAGCTAGATCCAAGGTCAGCCTAAGATCACAGAGTGAACTCCGAAACCAGAGTGGGTAACTGATGGACATGGTCTCAGAGCCACTGAGGCTGGAGGCAGTTCCACTTTGAAGCCCACTAATCCTGCACTAGAGTACCAAGGAAGTGCTACCACAGCAACCAACTATGTTTCCACCTCAGCTCCCTGCTTCTTTACTGTTTTTGCTATAAATGGAAAGGCTTTCTTTGGGAGATCCCCAGGGACTGGACACTGGTTCTTGTTGCGGTTACTGCTGCTATTGTTGATATTACAGTAAGGGCTGTGATGCCAATGAGCTAGAATGCTTGTTCCAAATGCCAGGACATTCAATTCTTTGTGATTAGCCTTCAAGGAGAACCTCTGGTATTTTGAAACTGGCACGCTTCTTAAAAAATTAAATACCAGGTGGTCAGCCAGAACCCACGGGCATTTCCCACCCTCAACTGTGCATGCCAAAACTAACCAAACAGCCTGGCTGTGTTTTCCTTTTTTATTACTGGCATGTGAACAATGCAGTCGCCGTAGTTTATGCTGGAGATATGGTGTCACCCTTAACCAAGACAAAGGATCAAAACAGGCTTTGTTCTAGGACTCTCTGTTCTATAGCCAGAGTTCTTGTAGGATTTGTACTTGCTGATCCTTGGAGTACAAACTAGATTTCGTTAAGTCCCCACTAGACTTATTTCTTAACCAAGACTGTAATAAGGACATTGGCCCCACCCACCAATGTAGCCTGTGCCACTGCTTCTCTGCGATTGCAGCTCCCTGTAAAAGGTGTTGTCCATGGTTTTGGGGGGTGGGGGAGAGTGATTTCCTTCTTGCTGAGAATAAAGGAGGGCAATTTCTACCTCCATATGTCTCTAGGCTTCTTACTAGTTTCTTAGGCCCAACCAGAGATTCCATTTCATAGAATCAGATTTTTAACAGATTTTGGAAATCATTTGGTACAAACTCTCCAGTTTGCAGATGAGAAACTCATGGCCAAGAAGAATAAAGTATTCAAAGTCACTCAGCCAATTCAGCCAATTTGTGGCAGACAGAGCTGCCAATAGACTTAAAATGGAAGCCCTTTCAAGGGGCTCCAACTAATTTTTTTTTTCATTGTCATAGCTTAGAAAGCAGAACCAGAGCCAAAATTCTGTCTTCTGACCCCCAAACCCATGCAGGGCCCATAGCACTCCATCTGCCCTGGAATCATGGCTGACATCAATGGGTTTCCCATCCTATGCAGGAAAAGTGGCATTCCAAAACTTCCTTCAAAAATGAAATCTACCCACAGTGCACAGACATAATCTTGTGAGTCACTCGCTGAGAATCTGAATATCTAAACAGTATCTAAGTAGCTACATATTACTAGATTACGAGCCAAAAACCTCACTGGAATAGAGTTGGCTTTACGTTTAACATGGGGTACGTACTTGGATGGTTCAGAATTGCCTGGGTCATATTTTCCTAATATGTAAAATGGTGTTAGCAATAGGTCCTCACCTGCCTTGCAGGGTAATTAGGAAGATAATTTGAAAACAAGTTTTATTCTCATAGTCATGGCATACATGAATTCAATGCCCACACACCTGGGTTTGATTCTTGTGCCATAGATTACTGGAAGCAGATTCTGGAAAAACGCTTTAACTACACTACCCGGTGGGTTTCACATCTTGGAAAATGAGGCAAAGACTTCCATCTCATAATTTCGTAGAGGATTAAAATGAGATGGGTATGAAATCAGGTGTATGTCACAGCTCCTGGGAAGTGGTACAAGTGCACATTCTAGCTTCATCACTTCTTCTGTGCATTTGGTTTCCCCAACTAGACTTCAACTTCCACATAGATTTGGTTCCTTGAAGCGAAAGGCTGACACTCAAGAAATGCTTCTGGTTTACTTCCAAAGCAGAAGAGAACATGATGCTAGCTCTTAAGGAGCTCTTTGTCTGCAGAAAAACAAGATGAGCTAACACATTGAGCACTGACTACAAGCTGAGCACCTTGCAAGGATTATCCCATTTAATTCTGATGGCATCTCTATAATGTGTACTGTATTTGAAGCTCATTTAACAGTTGACTATGTAGGCACCAAAAGATTAAGTAACTTACCCAAGACCACGAATCCACTAAGTGGCAGAGCTGGCCTTGGGAATGCTTCCGGTTTTGCAGACTTGTCTCCTGTTCATGCCCTAATGTTCTGATCCCATCATTTTAGCAAGGAACCCTGTTTCACAGTTCCTGAAGGATTTGTTTGTTTGGTTGGTTGGTTTTGGGTTTTATTTGAAGATGGAGTCTTGCCCTGTCCCCCAGGCTGGAGTGTAATGGCACGATCCCAGCTCACTGCAAAGTCTACCTCCTGGGTCCAAATGATTCTCCTGCCTCAACTCCCAAGTAGCTGTGATTACAGGTGCCCACCACCACACCCAGCTAATTTTTATATTTTTGGTAGATGGGGTTTTACCATGTTTTTCAGGCTGGTCTCGAACTCCTGACCTCGTGATCCACCCACCTCGGACTTTCAAAGTGCTGGGATTACAGGCGTGAGCTACTGCACCCAGCCTCCTGATGGGTATTTTTTTTTTTTAACCATCTGTATTTGTTTGCTAGGGCGGCCATAACAATATACCACAGACTGTGGGGCTAAAACAACAGAAATGCATTCTTTCACAGTCCTGGAGCCCAGAAGTCCCAGATCCAGGTGTGAGCAGGGTTGGTTTCTCCTGAGGCCGCTCTCCTTGGCTGACGGGTGGCATCTTCCCCAGTGCTCCTATGGTCTTCCTTCTGTGCACGTCTGTGTCCTCATCTCATCTTCACAGAAGGACACCAGCTATATTGAACTAGGGCCCACCCTCGTGACTTTACTTTCTAACTCCATTACTTCTGTGAAGTCCCTGCCTCCAAATATAGTCACATTGTTGAGGGTTTGGACATATGAATTTTTAGGGATATAATTCAGCTATAACACTGCAATTTCCATCACAAAAGTGAATCTTCTCCTAAACAGATTCTGAAGTCCTAGAGTCCAGAAGTGATGGAGAAAGGAAGGTGAAGAGCAGGGGTCATAGTCTCTGCCTAGGAGAGTACACACATTTCTCGTGGAACACCTTTCAGTGGCCCCTTCAGGCCCCTCAAATAACCTGACCACTTTGTCATTCCCATATCCTCCCTATTCTGCAATAAGCCCTTTGCACAGGTTTCTTTTCCCAGGGCCTCCACATCCCCACTTGAATCCTCATCTTGGTGTGCTTCTGGGGGAATCCAAATAAAGACAACTGCTAAAATGAAATTCTAGAGGTGATGTGAACACTAGTAGACATGAGCTACATAAATCTATCACCAAAATTGAGCCTAACGGCCATGCGATGTGTTTCTGCAAAAATCTCTATTGCTCACCAGCACAGCCAGCTCCATATTCACGGGACCAGTGTAAAATGAAAACTGTTTAAAAGTGGGGGAAGAAGGTATGGTTAAAGGTACTATAATATAAAGCTTTTTCCTTCCTTCTACAGTGTCTCAACTTATGACATTTTAAAAAATCTGTTGTTTAGTGCTATTCTACGTCAAGCAAAAATAAAATTTTAAATTATTAGCATGAATGTTATGGTTCATCTTTACATTGTACAATGTCAGTTTTAAATATGCAAATATGGGCTGGGCACGATGGCCAGCACCTATAATCTCAGTACTTTGGAAGGGCAAGGCAGGTGGATCACCTGAGGTCAAGAGTTCAAGACCAGCCTACACAACATGGTCAAACCCCATCTCTATTAAAAATACAAAAATTAGCCAGGCATGGTGGCAAGCACCAGTAATTCCAAGCTACTCATTCTGGAGGCTGAGGAATGAGAATCAATTGAACCTGGGAGGTGGAGGTTGCAGTGAGCTGAGATCATGCCACTGCACTCCAGCCTGGGTTACAGAGCGAGACTTGGTCTCGAAAATAATAAAAATAAATAAATAAATGCAAATATGAGAGTATTTAGCTCATCTTCAGAATCACTGAAATTATATAATTCATAATATTCAGCTTATAGATGCATATGCATTTCTTTCTTGCCAAAACAGGGGAATTACCACGCAAAACTAACTCAGCTCTTTTTATTTTCCGTGTGTGTGTGTGTGTGTGTGTGTGTGTATGTGTTTCTGAGAAAGAGTCTCAGTCTGTCACCCTGGCTGGAGTGCAGTGGTGCAATCTTGGCTCACTGCACCCTCTGCCTCCCGAGTTCAAGTGATTCTCCTGTCTCAGCCTCCTGAGTAGATGAGATTATAGGTGCACACCACCATGCCTGGATAATTTTTGTATTTATAATAGAGACAGAATTTCACCACGTTGGCCAGTCTGGTCTCAAACTCCTGACCTCAGGTGACCTGCCTGCCTCAGCCTCCCAAAGTGCTGGGATTATAGGTGTGAGCAACCACACCCAGTCTTTTACTTCTTGATATGCACCGACCCTATCAAATCTTAAAGAATGCTCAGCTGCCCTTTTTTCCTTTCGGTCTATGTCTTCATTTTCAGAAGAAGTGTTTGGTTAATTCAGGGAAGTGACATGAGTAAGAAAGAACAGAATAGGGTCCCTTGGTCGTTAGTATTTGTTAATGGAATGCCATGGCCTTCTTTCTTGTCAAAGCAAGTTCTGCTTCAAAAGGAAAGTGCGCCCTCTTGGGGCTGTCAGTGTCCCTCCTCCGTCCTCACCTTACCGTCCTTGGTGGTCCACGCTTACCTTGTATATACATCGAGTCTCCCCTGAATTCCCACACATGCTGGGTCCACTGGAATTCAGTGTCCAAGGGGCATGGCGGACACCGTATGGGAATGAGCAGCAAGGATCGATGGGCGTGCATGCTGCATGCCACTACTCAGCTCACGTGCATGCTCCATTTTCACGCTGGAGTACCCCTACAAGACACGAGTTCAAAGTATTAAGCACTCATTAAGGATTCATAAATTATTCATTTTTATTAGGGATTCTAAGAGGGCAACAGCAGAATGTTAAACCAGATGTGGGACCCTTGTGAGTTCAGGGCCCTGGGTAGGTCACTCAACTGTGATGCTAACTTTGATCACAGAGAAAGGGAGGACATGGCCTGCTGAAAACCTCTAAGCGGGAATCACAATTCTGCATTACAACCAGGGGCGAGGCACCTAACTGGTCATCAGAGTCCTTATAAGATTACTGTCTGGTACATGGTCATCACAAAGGTATTCTATCTATCTTCCTTTCTTTCTTTTTTTTTTTTTTTTTTTTTTCCTGAGACCAAATTTCACTCTTGTTTCCAGGCTGGAATGCAATGGCACAATCTTGGCTCACTGCAACCTCCACCACCTGGGTTCAAGTGATTCTCCTGCCACAGCCTCCCGAGTAGCTGGGATTACAGGGACACATCACCACTCCCAGCTGATTAATTTTGTATTTTCAGCAGAGATGGGGTTTCTCCATGTTGGTCAGGCTGGTCTTGAACTTTCAACTTAAGGTGATCCTCCCACCTCTGCCTCCCAAAGTGCTGGGATTACAGGCATGAGCCACCGTGCCTGGCCACAAAGGTATTATTTCTAAACACTTTATCGTTCAACCAGGGTGAGAGGGCATCCTAAAGTTCTTTCTTATGTTCAAGCAGGCCTTATTTAAGACCAAGAATGAATTTAAAGAACACACCTGTCCCTTTCTTTGGGCTTCCCCTACTCTCACTAATATCACTCAGATAAGTTAAAAAAAAATCCTGATAGCTTTTAAATGTTTTGGGCAAGGGCAAAATTTCTTCTAGATGGCAAGAAAATTCCACGATTATTTTTTCTCTTACATGCAGAGGGCTTTGCAGGCTTTTCAATGGGCAATTTTTAAGCTGAATGTATCCACAGACACACACAGACACACGCATACCCTTGGTTTCCCCTCCAGCCCACACCAACATGGCGTGGCTCCGACAGCTGTGATCTGTTGTATTCGTTGGTTTCCAGCTGTGGTCCTTGCACCAGCCCTCACCTCTGTTTGGTACATTCTGGAATGTCTGCTGGTTTTCCTTATCAGACGCGTGGAAGAACATAAACATCTCACCTCTTCCGAACAAGACTTCCAGTGTGTGTGTGTGTATGTGTGTGTTTGTGTGTGTGTGGTGCGCGTGCATGGCGGGGGGGACTTCCTAGAAACCAGGGCTGTTTTCTCTTGCCAGGCGCCACAGCAGGCCTTCCTGTGCAGGAGGTCATTTCAATAAGGACTCTCGGAGCTTAGTAAGCGGAGAAAAGGTGGTCATTCCCAGACAGGATGTTGGGAAGACGCCCGGCATGAGCCTTGCTGGGCAAGAGACGCCAACCGGACCAAGAATGTGGGCCAGTCCCCCAGGAAGTTATTCATGAGCCTGCACTGTATGATAAACAGGCAACTGAAGCCTTTTCTAAACAACTAAAATAACAATGCTCCAAATTCCAGAAAATTCTCAAACAATGACTGGACATTCCTTATCCCCTATGTGCTTATTTGTTCACCAAGTACTTTCAAAGAAACCAGAAACTGAAGCTCTGACTTGGGTTTCAGAGCAGGAATGAAGTGCGAGAAGATGGGCTGGCCCGGCCACACTCCCTGAGGCCGTTCTTCCTTTCAGGGGACTCTTCCCTTGCCACCAGCCCAGCCTTCCAGAACCCTCGTCACTCCCAGTGGCCGTGGAAGGCTGAAGGCCAGCATGGACTAGCTTTAAGACTGGTCAGCAGGACAGGGCTGAAAACAGGGAGAAGCCTCTATGGTTTCTGAGACCAAAAGATGTAAATTGGTCAGGTTAGAAAGTTATTCCTGAATAAGCAAAAAAACGATTTGGGGAGCTGGAAATTTACTACATGTCTACACGACTTGAAAGAGATATCGACATTTTTTGAGAGCACATATTGATAAGTTGTAATAGACAGTCATGTTGCATAATGACATTTCTGTCAGAGGTGGAGTACGTATATGACGGTGGTCCTGTGAGAATATAGTTCAGTGTTTTTACTGTACTTTGTATGTTTAGCTACACAGATACCTACCATTGCATCCCGGTGGACCCCCCTGTACTGTATTAGCACCATGGGGTCCAGGTTTGTAGCCTACGAGTGACAGGGTCTCCCGTATAGCCTAGGTGTGTCATGGGCTCTGCCTCCTCGGTTTGTGTAACCCTGATGATCAGACAACGATGAAATGACCTAATGAAGCATTTCTCAGAAGAGATACTCATTGTTAAGCAACACATAACTGTGCGTATGTATAATATTTGTGGTTATATGTGTGTGCCCACATATATATTGTATACATAATTATGAAATAATAGAGTATCATTTTATAAATTGATATAAATATCTACAGAATCTAAGTCTGTAAATCATGAGATGATTGGTGTATATATGCACATATATATCTCAACACTTGTTTATAGGTAAGACCCGTTCTTCATAGGAAGGAATAGAAACTCTTGTCATTTTTCTCACTGGTTCAGTAAAATTGCACTTGGAAATTTCAATGCCGTCTTCCCTCTACTCTCCCAGCTGCAGGCCAGAACCCCAAGTTTTCTCTGTCTTTTTCTTCTATGGGGCTTAAAACCCTAATGTGCCACGCAGTTTATCTATTGTTCACTGTCTGTCTCCCCACTCCCCTCTCCCTTATAATGAGAGCTTTCAAGGCAACAGTTTCTTGTTGTTTCTTTACTTGTTTTCCAAGTACACAAAACAGTGACTGGTACATACTAGACACTCAAAATTAATTTTGAATAAATAAATGCATCTAGCCTCATTTCCAAAATTGAAAAGAACCAGAATATTCACCAGATACCAATAAATACTTCTGATCAGTGTGGACCTTATTGTAAGACTAGATTGATCATGAGATGGTACTTCCTGGAGAATGGACAACTCGAATTCACAGTTAGGGTTTGACAAGAGGGCCATCACAGGTGTCAAACAGGATTCATTTTAATAGGACCGACAGAAGAGCCCGGACCATCTGGAACAAAACACAGATATGAGCCCTACCCACAAGCCCAAGGAATCTCTACCCTTAGATATAATCGAAGCCAGTGCTCTGAAAGGGCCAGTCTCCATCTTGTCTGTTGGTAGGAGACAGGCTTCACAGAGAGACTTTAGGATTTTCCCAAGATTCTGTGAATTCCTTTGTCCATCTCCCAGAGGCAGGAATTCACGCCATATCAAACCTGCTGACAATGCTGGCAGCATGGCTGGTGTGAAAGAGACTCTGGACTTGGATCAAGAAGGGATGGAGGAGAGTGAGGTTGAGATGAAAAACCAGGAAGAACAGCCTGGGAAACAGCCGGGGAGGAGCTGGCTCTGCTCTTTGCACTTACACTGGTTTTTAACGGACCAGCTTTAGTTCTGCAGCATTTTTCAGCAAGCCCTTTTCTGGCAATGTTCAGATTATTTCTAAAATCAACACAAATCACTTTGCATCTCTCTCCATAGGCTGTAATGAGCGGAAAGAGGCCTTGGAGAGCCGTGGGACTCAGGAGCTGGAGTCAGGCTTGAGATGGGGTCTCGAAGAAGCAAGAAGGCTTGCTTTTAGACTGAGACCTTAAATTCCACCCAGTTTATTACAACCCCGCTCACTCCTCTACTTGCTCCCTTCTCCACAATCAGATGCAAATTGCTCTCTAGTCTTGCTTCCTCTCTAATCATAGGTTGTCTCTGTTTTAGGAAGGCAAGTGGCCAGTGAGAACCTTACACTACCTTTGAGTTCTCTAAATATGATATGCCTCCATGGAATTGCGAAAATGGATCTTTGCATGTCACAAAATCACATATGCATGCCAGGGCCCTTTTTGCCTTGGTGGGAAGTGGGGCAGTGTTATGAGACATGCTATATATTTGTCTTTAAGACAATAATCTTGTTAAGAATGAAAACCAGGGCCAGGCACAGTGACTCACACTTGTAATCCCAGCACTTTGGGAGGCTAAGACGGGTGGATCACAAGGTCAGGAGTTCAAGACCAGCCTGGCCAAGATGATGAAACCCCATCTGTACTAAAAATACAAAAAGTCGCTGGGTGTGGTGGCATGTGCCTGTAATCCCAGCTACTCAGGAGACTGAGGCAGAAGAATAGCTTGAACCTGGGAGGAGGAGGTTGCAGTGAGTGGAGATCAAAAAAAAAAAAAAAGAATGAAGACCAATTAGAATTGAATCTTGTATCCCTTTCCTTACCAAATGCAACAAGAGAAGCCAATGTAAATCCATTTCAAGCCCGAGATAACTTGAAATTAAATTTGGAATAAAATTTCAGAAGGGTCCTTTCTGGCTTTCAAAGGCAAACTCAGACACAAGCAGCCCCACTTCCGGTGAGGGGCACTTTCCACTCTGAAAATGAATGATCCATGGAGGCAGGGAGATGACGGGTGTTTACAATTTGAACCATGTTGCCTGGGGTGGGTGCTGATCCCGGCATGCAGCCCTGGCACCCACATGATAACAAGGTGCTCAGCTGGAATCTCTGGCTTAGGGCTTTTGTTGGAAAAGTTAGCAGGCAAGCCCAAAGAGCTCTCCAACAGATATAATGGCCTAATTATTAGTTTAATCAGTAAGGCCGAGGTTCCTTACAGGGCAGCTTCCTTCCCTTCGTTTTTTTCATCTAACTGGCTGCACTCAGAGCTGACTGGTGTAAGCACAGTCCTGTAACGAGAGGGCACGTGGCCAACTGGATCTTAAACCAGCTTTGTGCACTGTAAACAAGATGTACTCTAATTATAAAAGAGGGTAAATTGAAGAGCCCAAGAGGCAGAGGAAGCTGAACATGGGTACAGAGTCGGTTGACTCAGAGGTTAACTACCCATTGAAATGGAGTCTAAAAGGAGAAGTGACCTTTCTTCAGCACGGTTTCCATTCCCTGCTTGATCCACAAAGGAACAGATACCGCACAAGACAAAGGCACCCG